CGCACCTTTTGATGCTTTGTAATTACAGAGTCCTCTCTTTTTTTTTTTTCTTCTTTTTTTTCCCCTGGTGGCTCCTGGTTCTCCCTAGGCCTTCGGTGATTTTTTTTTTTTCTCTCCCCCAAGGCCCGGGGCTTTGATAGGGGAGGGGATTGACGGCCCACGGCTTGGCTAGGCTTTTCTAAATTAGGCGTTTGTTTTCTTGCAATTTCCCGGCTCCGTGAATAGCTCGCCAAGATCAGGTCGCAGGTGAACTCAATGCATATGTGTTGTTGCAAAAGTTCGTCTGGAAGGCTAATTATAGGTTGTAGGGAAGCTTTGTATTTCAAAGAGGCTTAATATAAATTGCTTTCATGGGAAAAGGTGGCTGAAGCTGGTATTTTGGAAAGGGTGGTGTGGGGCTACATGGAGTTTTTCTTTCTTTTTTTTCTTTTTTTTTTTTTGGAGTTGTTATTCCTTCTTGGTCCTGGAGCAGCACAACACTCTCTCTGGCAGACTGATTTCCTATGTTACTGCAGGTGCATTTGAGCTACAGCTCACATCATCCTTTACTTTTTATCATGGTGACTGGGGCTGATAGAAACAAGGGTCCCAACATTAGTGAGAGAGCCTCAAAAAAGTTCCCAACCCTGCCCTAAACAACATTGTTTTTGGGAGCAGAAGAGAGGGATTGACAAGCTGCTTTTCCATTCATTTGGGACAGGAACTAAAAGGAAGAATAGAATTGAGCTGTAATAACAAATGCTAAAAATATGTATTTTCATGAAGGCTGTGCATTTTACCCTGGAAAAATTTACCTAGAACTCTGGTTTCCTCACCCTTCTTATCCACAACTATGTATATACCCCATTAACTGCATCAAGTCTAAGCAAATGACCCCACTTTTTCATACTTGGGGTGATATTTCAAGACCCATTGCAAGATGGGTCATCTTAGATGGCTGGCCCTTGCACTCAGATATATCCCTGTCGCTTCCAGAAGCTCCATAGACATTTTTCCTCCATGGAAGCCTGAATGAGCCAAGTCTATTTTGCCTCCAGCCTTGGCAATGCTACCTTCTCTGTCCAATCCCTCAGGGGGTTTGGGAAGACATTAGCAGTGCTTATGGAAATCTTGTATACCTCTCAAGTGTTAATAGGGAGGCTAATGTACACACTCACAAGTACACACTCCTTGGACTGAAGTTGTGCTATTTACATACATAGATTAAAGGGACATTTTAAGCAAATGGTCTATTCTACAAGTAAAAGGTTCTTCACCAGACCTAATTTTGGGCCACATTTCAGTCTGTCTAAGCTTGGTTTAGAAATTATGACAAATAATGGCATGGATCATACTTGCAGAGACTGTATCATGTATTCTCATGTATCAGAACAAACCAAGATTTCTCTAATCAGTATAATTCACACTTTTGGGGGGCATTGAATAAAACACTTTTGGGGTTCTACAGTAGTCTCACTTATAAATCATAGTTTAAAACCCTTTAAACAGACTGGCTGAATTCATTGGATAAGCCATAGTTGGCTGGGATGCCATAATTTAAATAGTAAATCATGGTTTATAAATTACAATGGCTAGTTTCCCCACATACTAGAGCAAGGCCAAGCCAACCATATTATAAACTAATGTGTGCAATGAATCAATGTGTCTGAAGTGGTGGGAAGTATAGAGATAATGACCACAATCATGGGATTTTTTAATCTGCATTCTGTGGGACTTTGTCCAGTGTTTAACAAACACACATACTGATTCCCTGTTTTGAAAAAGCTAATAGATTTGGGTATTTTCCCCCCCTTCCGTTCAGTTGCATCTGATTCTCCGAGATACTCAGTATCTAATTAAAGTTTGCATTCCATTTATTTTTCCTTCAAGCTGTTTGTTGGGTTATCAGGAAATTAAATCTGGATCTTAGTTTGAGAAAACAATTTCTGTAAAGTAAATAGTAAGGAAGGATGCTTTGGGGTGAAAAAGTTGGAGAAAGCATAAAGAGGATCAGGCAAGGAACTCATAAAGATGCATGCAATTTCAATTTTGATCAACAACACTTGAACAAAGAAGAAATTACTGTACTGCTCTTTTAGTGCCCTAAAACAGTCATCCTTGCACCCATGGTATAATTCAATTTGCACTTGCGAGAGTAAACAGGCGAAAGCCGCATTCTTCTGAATATGCACATTAAAAGAAGAAAAAAGAAAAATGTAGTGTCATCTGTATTTGTCCAGCTTTTAGCACAATGAACAAGGTCTCTGTGCTGGGTGATAAAAATTAATTATAATGTGATTGAAGACAGTCTTCCTTACTGAGAAGAAGACATTTATTTCCCAATCTTATTCATGCTGATTATTATTTCTTAAATGCAGTTAAAAAGTGAAATTCCATGAATTTTCATATAATTTAAACCTACCTCTCTCCCTCCCTCCCTCTCTCTCTCTCTCTCTCTCTCTCTCTCTCTGAATTCATAAAGGTATCAATTGTGAGACAAATAGATTGGAATCATGACTTGAAGCACATAGTAACACTAGAACTTCACATCAAGTTCAAAAGTTTTGGATTTCTACTTTCTGGGACGGCCCATAAAATAGTTAAAAACCCCTAAAAGATCTAGACTTTGTAAGGAGGTGGATTGGCCTGAAACGTGCACGCCAGATCCAGTCCCTAATTAGAACCTTTTGTCTAAAGCCTTTTCTAAAGCATTCCGTGTCTGTTTAATATTTAACATATGGGGGGGGGGTTAAACAGAGTTTTGTTGGTGTGCCAGTTCTATTACAATCAGAGATTGTTTAGTTGGGATGCAGAATAAAAAGAAATAAAAGGAAAAGACTTATTTTCTTTCTAAGATGAACCCAAGAAGAGGAGGAGGAAGAGGCGAAGGAGGAGGCAGCTGTGGGGTTTAGTTGTGATGCACAATAAAAAAAATAAAATAAAAGGAAAAGGGTTACTTTCTTTCTAAGATGAAGCCAGGAGGAGGAGAAGGAGGGGCTGTGGAGGGGCTACATTGCAAAAATGATGGCAGCCTCCCTCTTTGAGAGTTGACCATCCACCCCCCCCCCCAACCCTCCCTTGCAAAAGAGCAATACAGCCATTGCTGGGCATTGTAGGGTGAAAGAAAAGGAAGAGAGTTCAAACAGCAATTGATCTTTATCTCATGGGGGAAGTGGGGTGGGGGGGAGAAGGAGAGTTTGGAAAAGAAAGGCTTGAGTTGATTGGGCAATAAAAGGGTTAAAGGCAGGGAGTGGAGCTGGCAGAACCGGGAGGAGGGAATGCTGCCTGTCCCTTTAAGGTTCCTGCAGCACGAAGAGAATTGCAGGCATAATACGATTGGGGCGGCAGGATCACTTACTTCTGACGTTCCAAAGCCTGGGGGAGTTGGCTAGAGATTGTTTCCCTTTGATAAGGTCCTGGCAACTTAGTAACAACTCGAGAGGCAATAATAATAATAATAATCGGAGCCTCAAAGCTTCGGCACGAACGGACCCACCAAAACCCCACATCTTCACGGGGAAGCGGGGCGGGGGACCGACACCAAAACTCATTATTAGCTCTTTAGTTCGGGTTTAACGCCCGAGTCTTTAGGCCGGCGTTTTTGCCTCTACTGCCATCTGAAGAACTGTGACCTTTTATTTCGGCTTGTAATTTTTCTCTCCCCCCCCCAAATTTCCCTCTTTCAAAAAAAATAAATAAATAAAAATAAAGGGGGAGGGGGAGAGAGGAAGGTGTTGCAGAAAAGACGCTTATCTCCCTTACAGGACCGTTCTCTCGGTTGTTCACTTTGATGTGCACAGTTAAACCCACAGCTCAGTGTTTGTTGAAATAGCCCGGAGGACATTTGGTGCAAGGAATGACTGCTTGAAACAGGACCTGAGTTGAAAGAAGGGGGGGGGGGCGGGGGGGGGGGGGGGGGGGAGGGGGGGGGGGGGGAGGGGTTTTTGGTTTCTCAAACACCCCCCCCCCCCCCGCTCTTTTGGGTTAAAAAAGGAGAGAATCTCCCCCCCCCCCCCCCACAACTCTCTCTGATATATTTTGGGCAACGTCCTAGTCCCCCCGAGCCCTCCACGCTCCCCCCCCCTTTTTTTCTCTCTCTCTCTCTCAGATGCTGTTGAGAAGCTTGTGAGGAGGTGGGTGATAGGAAGGAATCAGCGCAGCGTTGCGGATTACTTTTCGCCTTTCCCTATGAGAAGGGCTCAAGGAGGTAGATTTTGAGTCCGGGGGGGGGGTTGGGGGGGAGAGGGGGAGAGGGCCCCCCCTGCTGTTTGGAAGGAAGCGCCGGGCGCCCGATTTAACGGAGGGGGCGGGAGAAAGCGCCCCACCACCAACTACGGGATCAATGGTAAGTTGCGAAAGAATGTGTGTAATTCCTTCGCCCCTCCCCCCCTCTCCCCGGTTGCTTTGATGTTTTCTTGGCTGGAGCTTTGAAGTTGTTGGGAGAAGCTGTTTGCGCCTTCCTTTTATGAGTAAGCAGACCTAGGAGAAAGAGAGAGAGAGCTGGGGTTCTACCAACCACAGCAGCCACTGAGCTGTGTGTGTGTGTGTGTGTAAGAGAGAGAGAGTGTGTTTAAGGGGGAGGCATCTGCTGGGGAAGGAATGGTCTTTTCACAGACCTACACCCCCCCCCCACCCTCTCATAAACATCCCGGTAAAGTAGGGAGGAGTTTTTGCCTTTGTTTTCCCAGCAATGTTTTGTGACTTGGAAAGGAGGTAGAGACCCAGGGATGGCTTCGGTTGGTAGGTAGGCGAAGGATGCCTTGGCTGCCAGTCCCTCCTCCCGCACCTCTTCGCGTACACCCCTCCCACTTCTGTCAGCACCCTCGATGAACTCCAAAGAGGCGCAGCGTGCTGACTTTGGGGTCAGTTGTTACACAGGACTTGGAGAAGGCGGCCGGGGAAGGTTTTCCTGTTCTCTCGTTCCTTTCTCTCTCGCTAGCTCTCTCTCTCTCTCTCTTTCCTCTTCTCTCTCTCTCTCTCCCCCCCCCCCCCGTTCCTTGAATTTTCTCACCGGTTCTCTTTACCCCCCCCCCCCTTTCCCATCAGTCGCCATTTCTGGGATATTTTTCTCTCTTTCTTTTAATGTTTCCCTCCCTCTGCGGGATGATTCTCTGGGGGTATGGGCTGCCCTGTCGCCGTCTCCTCCTCCTCCTCCTCCTCAAAATCTATCTAATTTGTGTTTTAAACAATCGCCTTCGTGCCCAACGCCTCTTTGATGGAGTGCTTGTTTAAGTGGGGAAATGCTTGAGGATTCTAACAGCCTGGTCTGGAATGTCTGCTCTTGTTCAGGTATCTTCCAGGACATCCTCCTCCTCCTCTTCCCTCCTCCTCCTCCTCCTCCCTTTGAAGCGGCTTTTGAACTTTCTTAAGAAAAGTTGAGGCGAGCAGGAAACCATACAGGGAACTTTTTATGTGTTTATACGCTCTAGGCTATGGGTGGAAGAGGTTGGTGGAAACCTGGCATTGGGCTGCTCATTTACTGGAGTGGAGTTTGCAGCTCTTTGCGTGTCTGACGGAGTAGCAGCTTTTTTTTTCTCCCCCTTTTCTTTTCCCTGGATTGGATGGTGGAGTTATGGTGAGCTGGTAAAGAACTTTGGATGCGCATTCTTTGCTCTGCTGCCCGAGGAGTAGAGAGCACAGCCCGCTCGCCGTAGAGTTGAATTGTGTGTTTTTTTTTTAATGGTGCTCTGTCGTATGAAAGGGGACCAATGCATGATAAAGGTAGGGATAGCAATGGGGGGGGGGAGAGGAAATTACATGTCAACAGTATACTTGAATCGAGCATGGCTCTTTTCAAAGGCAATGCGCAACTGGTAAGAAAGTCTTCGTTTTCAACGCGAGGCTGGTCAAATCTGGCTTTGTCTTTCCAGCTTCTTTTCAACCTTTTTTTTTTCTTTTCTTTTCTTCCCCCTCTCAGGGTACAGTTCAGAGGAGCATCCAGCATTGTGCTTGCTTAGGAGGGTTTCTGGTGATCCTAATCTAAACGTTTCAGGAGTTGAAAGGTTGGGGTGCGGGGGGGGGGGAGAAGAGAGAGTGAAATGGAAACCAGATGCTGAGGAAAGCACGTTTTGTTCTTTTGCCGTGAGTTATCTAGCAAAGAGAGAGAGAGAGAGAGAAGGGAGGGAAGCAAAAGCTGAAGGAATGTTTTTTTGCTGCAAAATGGGTTGAACGGCATGGGGATCCGAGATTATTCCTGGGACTCCTCAGATGTTATCATAAGTAGGAAGGGGGGGGGGGAAGGGAGGGAAACCCTTCCCGATGTTTTTCTTTGTGCATGTTGAGACTGTATAGAGGCAGTGCAATAAAGGAGGGGGGGGAGAGTTCTTTTCTTGTTTTTGTTCCCAACCCCTCACCCCACCCCGGCTCTCTGCCTAGGAGAGTTAAAAGTGTGCCCAGAGTTCAGTCTTCCTCTTTGAAAAGCGTATTTGATACTTTTGATTAGTGCTGCAGATAGCTGTGGTTGCCTCTTTATTTTAATGTGAAGAGTTGAAAAGCCTGTTTACTTTTGGTCTTTGATGTTGCTTGGATCTGGTTTTGATTAGATCAATACTTCTTCCCCCCCCTCTTTTTTTCCCCTCTTCTTTAAGAGAGAAGACTCTGAGGATCCCCTGCTGACTTGAGAAAGAAAAGAGAGAGAGAGAGAGAAGCACACAGATTGCTGAGGAACTTAAAAAGGAAAAAAAAAAAAGAGAGAGAGAGAGAGAGAGCTGTATCAGAAGGAACTCCCGGGAACCATGAGCAGCGCGGCATTGCTGACTCACCTCCCAGACCCCAGCAGCAGCTTCAGGGAAGATGCCCCACGCCCCCCTGTACCAGGGGAAGAAGGAGAGACACCATGCCATCTGGCTGCCAGTTTCTTTGCCCTAAAAAACCAAAGCTTCAAGGCCATGTCTGTTTCTTCCACACCCAGGAGGAATGAAGATGGTCTTGGGGAGCCAGAAGGCAGTGCATCTCCGGATTCTCCTCTAGCCCGATGGACCAAATCTTTGCATTCTTTACTAGGAGATCAAGATGGTGCTTATCTCTTTCGGACCTTCCTGGAAAGGGAGAAATGTGTGGATACTTTAGACTTTTGGTTTGCCTGCAATGGCTTCAGGCAGATGGACCTTAAGGATGCCAAAACTTTAAGAGTCGCCAAAGCTATCTACAAAAGGTACATTGAGAATAATAGCATTGTCTCCAAGCAACTCAAGCCTGCCACCAAGACCTACATACGGGATAATATCAAGAAGCAGCAGATCGATTCTGTAATGTTTGATCAGGCACAGACTGAGATTCAGACTGTGATGGAGGAAAATGCTTACCAGATGTTTTTGACTTCTGATATATACCTCGAATATGTAAGGAGTGGGGGAGAAAACCCTGCTTACATTAACAGCAATGGACTGGGCAGCTTGAAAGTGGATTGTGGCTATCTCCCTACCTTGAATGAAGAAGAGGAATGGAGCTGTGCTGACCTTAAAAACAAACTTTTGCCCTCCATACTTGGACTGTCCAGTAAGACCTTGAGGGCTACAGCCAGTGTCCGAGCTACAGAAACTGTGGAAAATGGGTTCAGGTAAGAGCAATAGATTCCATTTATTATGGGAGGGTGTTAAGTGGTTACAGTGTGTTGCAAAAGGAGTGTGTAGATTAATGTTGTGTTCCTGGTTTAAGTCAAATCTGGTAAAGAGACTCTTTTATTTTTTGAAGCTTCCCAATTTTGGCATTTATTTCTTGCTGGAGGGGAGGGCTGCCTTTTCCCCTAATACAAAAAAAAAAGGAGTACGTTGTGGTTCTTAAGACCCACCAGTTCTAAACCTCTTTTAGACATCAAAAAGGAACTTCAAAGGGCTCTTGTTCTTTGAGACATGCATTAATTGTTACCACTTTAAACCACATTAAGAGGAACTGGGAAGAGCACCATCTAGGCATGTGAATGAGTAATGAAATACTAGTTTGCCAACTTCATCCCTAGCTGGTGTTGAAATATGTGGATTACATGTAGAAAATGGAGAGCAATTATGTGATGATGGAACTAGAAAATCCATATTATTATTGAGATAACCTGTAAAACTGAACCAAGTTGACTTCAAGAAGATGATGACTCCACAGAGGTACTTCCATAAGGAATATCAGGTAGTAGCTTGATAAATGAATATTAGCCAGATAAATAGGATTTCTTAAGCCAAACAAAACAAACTTAGCTAAAGGGATGGCTCCAGGTACAGGATGTTAGTAAGGGCAAGAGTCAGAGATGAACGGTGTGCTCCAGGTTCAAAGGAAGCTGCTTGATACTAACTTAAAGTGCTGGTCCTTTGAGTTCACTACTTGTCTATTCCAACTAATAGCAGCTCTTCTTGCAGAATTCAGATACAGTTTTCTACTTGGAAAGGGAGAAGTCAGGGTTTCAACCTAGGATTGTGGTTGTTTTTTTTCTGTGTGAAGGATTGTGCTTGTATTGTGGAGCTTTCCCCACATGAATGGCATGTAGTCTTCATTTGAAGGTTGCTTTTTTTTCTCCATTTGAACATTGTCTTTGGTAACCCCAAGAGAATGATGTGTGCTTTCCTTTGGTTGCATTGGCTGCTGAAAGTGGGGCAAGAATTCATCACCCCAAGTGGCAACATCATCATATTCTCTTTCCGTCATGCAGAGTAGCATGCTCTTCTATGCTCTTATTCTTCTTATTCCCACTCCCCTCCCCTTTTGCCTTCATAAATCAGAATTGGTTGCATATGAAACGGTAGAGCAGAAGGACCTTCTCTCTCTCTCTCTCCCTCCCTCTCTCCCTCCCTCTCTCCCTCTCTCTCTCTCTCTCTCTCTCTCTCTCTCTCTCTCTCTCATGCGCACACACATTCTCTCTCTCTCTTTCTGTATTCTGTCTTGCTTTGGGAGTTTCTAAATCTGGTAAGTATTTGACATCTGGTTTACAGGAATTTTGTGAGTGTTTCTGTGATTCATGGACATCAAAGGACTTCAGGCATCTCCTCTTTTTTTCAGCTTGTACCGACCATGGCCTGCCTCTAAGAGGAGGGATCTTGAACTGCATCCCTTGTCTTTTTTTTGCTTGACTTTTAGCAAAGGGACTACTTGGTCTTTCCTAGGGATAGGACTGGCAAGGCAGCTGATTCCAATCCAGCTTTCACTCACAGCAGTATAAATCTGGAGCAGCGCCAGATGTATAAGGAGCGGCTTACAATTGTTGGCTGTGTACATGGCATCCATGTATGACATATTTGTTTCATCTGTTTGATGGGAATGTGCGCTCTAGTCTTCTGTCTGAAGACTCAATAAGTTTTTCTTATGGTGCCCAGCTTTGCAGTAGTTCATATCTGCTGTGACAGTGAACTTGAGCATGGAGATAATGATCATTTAGAGATATTTATTTTTCTTAGCTTAAGATAAAGACTATAAAGGACATTTTCTGCCACTGGCACTCCAGAAATAATATATTTTAATATTCGATTGTTTAGTGGCTCTAGAGTAGGATTTCCCCCCCACCCCCATGGTTGATCGCATCTTATCATGAATATGTTGATGGTATTTTATAGGGAACTTCTTTACAGCTTTTACATTAAGCAAACTGCTTGATAATCTTCAAAGAGGCATGGAATAAGGTTTGGGGTCTGTCTTCTTTGCATAACAAAGTACAGAGTAGGATTTGAACTTGAGTTCTAGTATTGTCACTACTCCAGGCTTAGTGTGTGATCTTGGACACACCAGCCCGTCCATTCTCAGACTAAATTTTTCTGCTATGAAATTGAAATAGGACTTACTTATGACTGTGTACCTATGTCTCTGTAAGAATTGTTGAGTACTTTTGTTGGAAGTGTCAGATCCAGTAGCAGTTTCTAAACTGGGCTCTTACGGTTACATGATATTGCCCTAGGAAGCAAGCTCAAACTTCTTTTGGTCTAGATCATCAAATGCTATTGCTCTTCTGTTTTAACCAATGCTAAAAATCCTGGTTTTTGTCCCCACTTGGTAAAAGAACTGCTGCTATACATATCTAATCTACCTTCTGCTAATGCATCAGTTTAACAGATAGTTATAGAGATTTGGTGTATATTCCCCCTCCCCTTGCAACTAGCCTACAACCGTAATGCATAATTAACACACAATGCTCATCTGATTTGTGTGTTAAGCATATCTGTATATGCTGAATGACTTTTGAGGCAAAAAAGCTATTTCAAGGTTGGTCCAAATGACTATCACATATGCAAGATGCTGTTCTCTGCCATGTGGACTTGCGACAGTTACTTTGAGATTTGTTACTTTAAGCCCCATACAATGAAATGTCTATGTTGTAGTCTAAATGTATAATGTGCCAGTTCATGGGCCCAGATCTGCCTTCCTACAGTATAGACAATAAGACAAGTTCTGAGTGAAGCTAGCTTTGCTGTTGAATGAGATGGATCCGGCAGATAGGTCTTCATTGATCAAAAGAGCTGCTGGTTGGCACTTATTGTATGAGAAATAATTATTAACTGAAGCTAACTTGTATCCACAGTTAAATGACACCATGACAAGGCCTTGCATGTGCAACCATGCCTTCTTCTCATTGGTTCTTTTTTTGGAGAAGAGGCAAGTTATATACCAGTTTCCTATAAAGTTATAAATACTGCACTGCCAGCATTAAATAATCATACATGCCTCTCCCTAGAAGGACACACCAATTTTCACAGCCTGATTTAACAGTTTTTTGACAAAGCATGCCATAAATTTGGGTTTTCAAGTTTGTCACATGAAAACTGTCATCAATTAGACGCCATTTTGCTTTCTCCACCCATAAACTGTATATTGCTGTGAATTGAAAATTGGCTACAATTTCTCAGCACCCTCTTGCTTGGACCAAAAAGGAAGCTTTGAAGCTTTGTATAAAGCAGGAAGGCAAAACTGAAAGAAAAAAATGGAGAAGAAAAAGGAGTTTTTATTAAGGGTCACTGTAAACGCTGCCACAAAGAAGGGGGAATCAACCTATTCTCCAAAGCACCAGAAGGCACATCAAGAAACAATGGATGGGAACTGATCAAGGAGAGAAGCAACCTAGAACTAAGCAGAAATTTCCTAATAGAACAATTACCCATTGGAATGGCTTCCCTTCAGAAGTTGTGGGTGCTCCATCAGTGGAGGCTTTTAAGAAAAAAACTGAATAACCACTTGTCTGGAATGGTACAGGGTTTTCTGCTTGAACCTGAAGTTGGACTAGAAGACCTCCAAGGTCCCTTCCAATTTTGTTATTCTGTTAATGTCCTCTTTGATGATGAAGAGAAGCTACTACCTCCTCCTTGAAAATATTTCTCACCATTCAGTCTTAAAGTGATGGAGCTTTTGGCGGCCTTGAAGAAAGATAGGATGGAGATCCCTACACAGAGGAGTTACAAGATAGCTTGATGAGATTTGGTTGCAGTTAAGGTGTTAGTGTGGTCAAAATCTCCCCCCCCCCATTTTTCAAAGTAACTACCTTTAATTGGTTTACTCATTGTATGTTAGGTTTCTAAGGGGCAAATCTTGGATTTCCCCTCCCCCCTGGGTTTTATTTTTATAATTCTGTGTGAAGACTTCTCCATCCGCTTTGTTGAAATGCTGAAAAAAAAGTTGTAAGCTAAGTGTCTCAGGGATTTATAAAACTCTTCGATGGTGCTTACCATTCCTGTTGAACTTCAAAGCAATAGTTTTGAAGCTCTTTCTTGTCGAAAATGATGAACTCTCCAAAGTGACTGCTTACACTACTGAAGAGGCTCTTCTTAACCTTCCCATAGGGATGCGTTGTAAACATAACTTCCAGTGGTTGCTGCACTGGCATGTTTCACATTGCATGTGCTTGAAAAGAAAAGGCCTATAGGATCCCCCCGAAAGAGCCTGGCTGGTTCTGTACAGATGAATCTTGCATCTTGAAACCAGATACTTTACAACAACAAGCTCTGATGGGCCTGGGTTGTGTTAAAACAAGACATGAAACAGTTCCAAGGAGAGCAATAAAAGGTAAAAAGGCTTCAATTGCCCCCTTTCCCTAAAAATAATAATAATAATAAAAAAATAACACCATTAACGGTGTACTGAAAGTTGGAATTTCAGAAGCAGAGATGCCTTATCAAGAGAATTGGCTTTGTTTTTACGGGTAGAATTGCCATTCCTTCCCATCCTCCCAGTAAAAAAAATTCCTGTTAAGAAACAACAACAAAAAAAATCAGACTTTTCTCCATATGTCATGCTTAGTATCTTCCTTCCTTCCTTCCTTCCTTCCTTCCTTCCTTCCTTCCTTCCTTCCTCCCTCCCTCCCTCCCTCCCTCCCTCATCTTTTAGATATCTTGAGGTTCCCACTAAAAAAAAATATTGGTGCATTTTGGGAATGAGTGCAGTCCCAGATGTGCAGAAATAGCTCCTTCTCTCGCAGTGCTGTCTCCTTGCAAAGGTCAGCCTGAGATAGAGAAAGTTCACCCCTACTCTTGGCCACTACTCCTTGAAGAGGTGGGCTGCCCCTCTGTCTGTTCCTCCCTATCCACCCCCACCCCCTTCTTTACAAAGGTTGGTGGACCCCCATGAAATGGAGGAATGCAACAGACAGGAGAGAAGAGACATTCAGCTTGTGACAAAAGTGAGCAAAGGCTACCTAAGAAGGGTGAAAGTGGGCAATTGGGATGCACGAAAATACAGTAAAGGGACTAGAACCGTGATGGCAAACCTATGGCACGCGTGCCAGAGGTGGCACACAGAGCTCTCTCTCTGGGCACACACACCGTTTCCAGCTGCTCTTCTGGTTTCTGGCACACACATGCCCACCGGCCAGCTGGTTTTGGGTTTATGGTACTCTGGCGTGTGCGTGCACTCGTGTAATGCACACACACGTTCTGGTTTGGGCACTCGGTGCCAAAAAGGTTCACCATCAATGGACTAGAATATTAAAGGGTGAAATGATGTTTTCCGTTAAAGATACCAGGCTGTTTACTGAAGTTCTGCCACTCTCTGCAAGTGGCTTGAGGGGATGTTTTTTAATAAATAATTTAAAAAGGACACCCTTCTTATGCCTTGGCCTTGCAGAAGTGAATTTCTTCTCCACCCATCCTGCCTTCTGAGCTCCTTGAGAGCAACTCTTGATTAGAACAAGTGGTTCTGAACATGGAACAACGTGTGTTGCAACGAGCAATTCTCTCTCCAGTGAAAAAGAGTTACCAAGCTGAGTTTCTTCCGGATGAGGGATGTGGTCTGGGCCCCTCTGAGATCTGTGCTGTGGAATGTTCTGGAAGTGGTGTACATTTGACAGCCGGGATGGGGTGGGGGTGGGGGGTGCCCTTTCATTCATTTTTCAGTATTTTATGGAAACAGGCATCTGGAACAAGGGGTGACTGCTTCAAATAAGGAACATCTGGTAAACTTCAGCTTGGATTCCAGGCTTTTAAGAACTGAAGAGTTAAAGGTGTTGCTGTCAGTGCAGAAGAACTTCTGAGACCTTTGGTCTCTAAGCGGTCCTGCCAATTCTGCACATTTTTGTACTTGGTGTTGCCATCTTGCTCTCTGCTTTAAAAGTCTTCTGTGTGAAGGGTGTTCGTTCAATGCTGGTTACCCTATATGTAAACATCTCCCTCCCCCAGCTTGTAGTCTTGTTTTATTCATCTTTATCGTTGTCATGGGATTGCCAAATTGATCTCATGACGTTTATCTATTTCTATGGTTTTATTGTATCTCAGCCAGAATCACTTTGGGTGAGATGGGTGGTCATATGAATTTGACAAATAAATAAATTATTCAAACTACTAGTGTGACAATGCAGGTAAAATTCTTGATTTACAACCATTTGCTTAGTGACTGTTCAAAGTTACAATAACACTGAAGAACCTATGACCATTTTTCACACTTACAACCATCGCATCCCCCCGCCCCCATGGTCATGTGATCAAAATTCAGACAGCTGGCTACTGGCTCATATTTATGACAGTTGCAGTGTCTTGGGGTCCTGTGGTCACCTTTTGCAACCTTCTGGCAAGCAAAGTCAATGGGGAAGCTAGGCTCACTTAACAACCGTGTTATTAACTTCACCACCACAGCGAGTTGCTTAACTGTTTCAAGAAAAGTCATAAAATGGGGCAAAACTCAATTATCTTGCTTAGCAATGGAAATTTTGGGCTCAATTGTGGTCATAAATCAAGGATTACCTGTATCCTGTTGCTATCCAAAATTAAGATGGCAGGATGACCCAGAATTAAAAAAAAGAAAAGAAACAAGAAATATCTTTTAGTGTGCTTACCACACATAAAAAAGAAACTTTTGTGCATTTCTTAATGAGGAAAGATTGATTTGCTCTTCAAATCAGATTCCTGCTTTCCCATTGGACCTCCCTGCCTTTGGAAGCCCTCTGCTTTCTCCTCCAAAATCAGATGCTCATTGGCTGATTTTGAAGCCATAACCTTTCTATCAGGGCACAGACAATAACCCTAAAATATTGTGGGTGTGCTTACCACTAATTCCCAGTATTCATCAGATTTCCCAAGCACATTGCATTAGCCTGTCTAGAGTTCCTGTAATGTACTGTAGGTTTACAATGAATCCTATTATCAATTGGAGGCAGAAGGGAGTCCTGTGTCTTTAATGTCACGCTGTGAGCTTGTGGCCCTGATAAAATTTCAGGAAAGTTAATTCATCTCTTCAATGGTGATGCTCATTTGCCCCTTTTCAACCCTTTCTGCTCCCTTTTTCATGAAGAAGTAAGAATATGAACATTCAATGTTTTAGTGGGAAAGTAGTTGAATATATATTGAGCCAAGGTGGCGCAGTGGTTAGAGTGCAGTACTGCAGGCTACTTCTGCTGACTGCCGGCTGACTGCAATTTGGCAGTTCGAATCTCAGCAGGCTCAAAGTTGATTCAGCTTTCCATCCTTCTGAGGTGGGTAAAATGAGGACCCAAATTGATTGGGGAGGGGAGATGCTGACTCTGTAAACCACTTAGAGAGGACTGTAAAGCAATGTGAAGCGGTATATAAGTCTAAGTGCTATTGCTATTTGGTGGGGTGCGGCTGGGGACCCTGACCAAAATGGAAATGTTATATACAGGTAGTCCTCGACTTACGAACATTCATTTAGGGACTGTTTAAAGTTACAATGGCACTGAAAAAAAAAATGACTTATGGCTGTTTTCACACTTACCTTGCAGTATCCCCATGGTCACGTTATCTGAATTTGAACTCTTGGCAACCGCTTCATATTTATGGCAGTTGCAGTGTCTTGGGGTGATGTGATCAGGTTTTTTGACCTGACAAGCAAAGTCAATGGGGGAAGCTAGATTACTTAACACAACTGTGTTATTAACAACTGTAGTGATTCACTTAACAACTATGGCAAGAAAAAGTTGTAAAATGGGCCAAAATTCACTTAACAACTGTCTTGCTTAACAACAGAAATTTTGGGCTCAAAATTTACAACTGCTGTTGTAAGTTAGGACTACCTGTAGTGAAGGGGGATTATTAAGGGATAGGCTGAGGGTAGATGGTAGGGTAGACAGCTTTTTGGACAATTTTGAACACTGGCTGGTCAGAGAATCAGTGCCATAAATGTCAAGGAGAGGTTCGTAAGTATATTGTGTTGAGCAGGAGTGTCAAACTCAAAGCCCGGAGGCTGGATCCAGCCCGTGGGGTTGTTAGAACTGGCCCGCAGGGCCGCGCTGGAAACAGCAAAGGACCGACCAGCAAAAATGGAGCTTGGGAGGGCCGCAGAGGGTTGCAGGAGGCTGTCACAGCTGAAAACTGAGCTCGCGAGGGCCGCAGGCGGCCCATCCGAGCTCCATTTTTGATGGCAGAGGGTTGCAGGGGGCCATCACAGCTGAAAACAGAACTCAAGACCCCATTTTTGCTGGCAGAGTGCTCGGACCACCACAGGCACCCCCGACACAAGTGACGAGCTGGCCACGCCTACCCCAGCCCCCCAAAGTCAAACGCAATGCTGATGCAGCCCTCAATGAAATCGAGTTTGACACTCCTGGTGTAGAGCGTCAGTTTTGCAAAGTGTAATAGAGTTATAGCATTTTTACTTCTAAAACAAAATTGCAGAGCTGTTTATCATATGGTAAATGTGAGAAATGAAGGGAAATCTTCTCGTGCGCAATTGGGCTTTGTCCTAGTTAAGTAGGCTTAGCATTCATGAATGCAGCCTCTGCCTGCTTAAATAGGACAAAGTCCAACTGTTCACAAGAAGATCTTATTTCAGGGTAGATAGAGATGGGGTTATTCTTAAAAAAAAGGTGTTGACAGCTAGAGTGACTTTTATTGATGGCCCCTTTTCCACTCTATCTAGACCTGGGGTGTCTAACCTTGGCACCTTTAAGACTTGTGGACTTCAACTCCCGTAATTCCTCAGCCAACATGGCTGGCTGAGGAATTCTGGGAATTGAAGTCCACAGGTCTTAAAATTGCCAAGGTTGGACACCCTTGATGTAGATCTCTATCATCTTTGAAATAACAAGACCTAGAAGGAGGGCAACTGTGTAAATTGGTAAAACATAGTTTCTAAAACCAGGAAGACAAAGGGTTAACCAAACTCAGTAATATGACTAACTTACCTCAGAGGTTTTATTGTGAGGATAAGTTAAGAGTAGAGATACTTGAAGATAGCTCCTTGGAAGAACAGAGGAAAGGAATGCAAGTTGGATGACTCTTTTTCAAGCAGTTCAATAGTTGGTGCCTTGAAGTCATGGATAAGCAACCTGGTGCCCTTCAGAGGTCTGGGACTGAAGCTCCCACAATCCCATAATTAGTGGCTGGAGTTAAGGAGTGATGAAGTCCAAAAACATTGTGAGAGCTCCAGATTCTCTATCCCTAATTTAAAATATCCTGTGAAGTCATTGAGACAGGCGACCTATGAAATTATGTGGGAAAGCTTAAAGCAGTGGGAAGAAAGCTTAAACTGTGGTCCATCTTAAACACTTCTCATTTTCAAGAATTCCATGGAATCTGTGGTGGGTTTTTTCCCCCTCCAAGTGTTGGGAATGCTAGGTCTGTAGTTTGCCTTGAGTAACTGCTACCTTACTCTTTGGTCTCCTAAAGTTTGCATTTCCTGAGTTCAAAGACTAAGAGGGCTCTCTGTTTTTGCTCATTTCTAGGTCCTTCAAGAGAAATGATCCAGTTAACCCTTATCATGTGAATTCTGGCTATGTCTTTGCTCCTGCTACTAGTGCAAACGACAGCGAAATTTCTAGCGACGCTCTGACTGACGATTCTATGTCAATGACCGACAGCAGTGTGTAAGTACTTCCATCATTGGAATTGGAGAGAAGTTTGTAAATTTTCTGGGCTATCCTTCCTACTAAACTGAGCACATGATTGGAACAGAACAGTATATGCGGCAAAAATAAGATTTGGTCTCCACCGTTTTCATTGCTTGATAGGGATTATTCTTCCAAAGTCTCAGACAAATGGCCTTGTTCTCCTGGAAAACCTACAGTTTGTTTCTGCCCCATGGAGCATGTCTGTAAGTTGTCCCTTATTTGCTGTCTTGTTTCAGGTGTTTTTAGGGCTGTGTGTGCTCTCATTAAATAATGACCGTGTTAAAAAAATAAATTGCTTCCTTTAGGAAGTGCTTTCAGGTTATTGCTGTGCTTCTAAGTACAATTGATCTGAAAGTGACCTCTTGTGCCAATATTAGAACTAGAATTAGAGGAGGCTTGGCCTGTTTTCTTTTAGTTTCCTTCTGGAAGGGAAATGGTGTCCTCTGCAAAAATCTTGACTGAGAAAGAAAAAAAGAAAGAAAAAGAAAGAAAGAAAGAAAAAAGAAAGAAAGAAAGAAAGAGGAAGGAAGGAAGGAAGGAAAGAGAAAAAATGAACTGTTGTAAGTCGAGGACTATCTGTATAGGGAGACTTTCTTTGGGCTTAAATGGTACAGATTAGCTCCATTTTTGTTGTCAAATCTCCCTGAAAGAATCATGTAAACTGCCTCTCCCATCTCTTACGGGGCTACACAGTGTGGACTAGCCTAATCTTAAAAAGAGGATCGCCAAGACTGGCTTGCCAGGATGCGGGTAGGCCCATCCTTGTGCCTCCACAGAGTTAGTCATTTCTGGACTAGCAATGGCTCCTTACGGCTGGGATCCTTATACCCTCTCTTCAGAGCCAGGCCAATTGTAGGGCCTTCTGCAGATGAGAGGCCTGAGTGAGAAATAAAGTGCAAAGGGGGGCAGGTGGGGGAGGGGGGGGGAGTGGATGGATGAAAGGCTTAACTGAATCCCTTTCAGCCCATTGTTCATCTAGGGGAGCTTAGGAGAGGATAAGAGGTTAGCAGGCAGCTTTGAAATTGACTTGAACAAGTGAATAGGAGCTCCCCCTTAAAGCAAAGCATAAAAGAAGCTGCCCTGTTTGCTCCTGCCATAACAAGAGCTCCTTCAGGTCATGAGGAGCCAGGGAAGCTGGCTTGATTTATACCGCTGGGGAGGCATTGAACAGACAAAACATGGATTTCAGTTAGGATCCGGGATGGTTACCTAGCACGAAGGAGCCACTTTTCTTCACCTGCTCCTGCTGCCAACTCCAGCCCAGGTTTTTCTGCCTTTGACTTGTTTCCCTTGCCCCCTGGGTGTACAAAGGAGAAATTTGAGCAAAAGCTCAAAGGGGAAAGGTATTTTCTGTCCAGGCTGGGGGAATGGATTGGAAAAGGAAAAAGAAAAAAAAAATCCATTGCTTCTGTGGTAGATTGACTTCCTTTGATGCTGCGGCAAAGGACATCAGTGCCTTTTCCTATAGGTTTTGTTGACTTCCCAATTGTGCATTTAGGTTGCCTCTTGGGTGGGAGGCAAACGGAGGGAGAGAATGTAGAGATATATGAAGCCAGGGTGAACTGGGCTGGAAGGTTTGGTGTGGCCTTCCTAGAAGGGGAGACAAATGCACTTTGTGTCTGAATTTGCAGTTAATCTCAAAAGGATCCTGGCGACGTTTTTGGTTGCTCATGTGCTCTTTTGGTGCCGACCACAAAGCACCTCCAATTTCCATGTCTTGATTGGAGGGAAGGAAATAGAGAGAAGAAAGAGAGCTGAAAAGGGAGCGTCTTATTATTTGGTTATATCTTATTTATGGATTTACTTTGGACCCAGGGGAATACTGCTGAGTGAACTTCAAATATTACCTTATCTTACAAACCAGGCTTTTGATGTTGGCAAGATCAGAGGCTGTGCTCCACAGCCATTGCCAAATGAAGATGGGAGTGAATGCATATGCGCCAAAGCCTGAGATTTCAAAAGAAGCAGTAAAACTACATTCAAGTTAGGTCAGGCACATCTAAGTCAAAAGGCTAAGATAATTGGCTCAGCTTAAATGGCAGCTGACTGGAAAGGAGACTTCAAAACTAGTGTTTCCCCAGAAACAGATTGGCTTAGTCCCAGAGTGGTTAGCTAAAATGTTTATAATTAAACTGTGCTCCTCGCTGCCTAAAATTGTGCAGTTCTTTATTCTAGACTTAGATTTAAACACACACACACACATAGGCAGGCAGGAGCAAGAAGGAGAAAGCTAGTGGACTGACATGATTGTCATCTTGTCATCTTCCAAAAAACACTGTCCCACTTTTGAGGCCATTGATGTAAAAAGCTTTCGAATATTCGAGCATTGGGCAGGAACATTTGGTGTCCCCTCCTCTCAGATCTAATCTTACTTTCAAGTGGCCGAGCGAGCGTGGCATCTATAGGATTCTTCTAGTTGAGGATTATAACAGCCTTACAATAGATTTTAAGACGGATTTGAAATCAACCCCAACGTATTTACCAAACCGTCTTCTTATCTTAAAGGCTTGACTTTTCTGTCTTCCTTGCCTTCGTGGCTGCCTATTTCGTGGCTGCCTATTTTTCAGATGAGAAACCTGTGGAGATGTTAGAAGTCCACCACCAAGGCTGTTTGGTGCATGTGTGGCTGAAAGAGCTTGAAACCAAAATAAATATCCCCGGGGCAAAATGAGTCCTCTCTCCTCTGTGCCTTAATTGGCTTCTTTGGCTACCCTAATTTTAAATTTGAGAAGCAGCTGTCTGTCTCATTCGCACGAATGCATTATCAATTCTTGCCTTGTTCCAGTGCTCTTTTATTTTAAATATTCAAGAACCAAAAAAATGCTCAAATCCTCATTAGGATACCCAGTTCTGTTTCTCAGGCTATTAAGGAATGCCCCCTCCTAACATGACACTCATTGAGCCTTTTATTTAAGTTCAATTAACAGCTTGTTCCAAGATAGAGGCAGTTCTTAAGTGAGCCAATTCAGAGGATCCCTCTCATTTCTCCAAATTGCTACGTTGGGGAGTCTTCCAAACACTGGGGAGAATTGGAGGGGCTACCTGGATGGACAAGGAGCATTGAATTAGGACGAAGTGATACAGAGGGCCCGATAGCCTCATATCACTAAGGTTTCATTAGGGAGAAGGCCCCCTTTTCAACCACCAAGATATTCCCAAATGAGATATAATGAAACCAAGTTTTGTTTGGTTTTTTAAAAGCCCAAGTATTATGGATAAGGATTTAGGTTAGTTAAAATATATATAATAAAAATCAGAGCAATCTATCAGTACAAGATGAATCATTAAGCCCCCTCACCCCCGACCTCTATGGCTGAGTATCCTGCTGGCTAACCAATAACAGGCGAAAAGAAGACGCAGTCTTATATTGAATAATCAGAGACCCCCATGGCTTCCCTATCCGGCATTTTCTTTCTAAACTGGAAGAGGTTTTTCATATTTTCAGTCTGGGTTTTTTTTTCCCAGGCCCTGTTGTGTGAAAGCATAAAGATTGCCTCACACACACACACAACAACTCATGTACACTTTAATGCAGTGGTGGGTTCAGGAGTGAAATCCAGCAGGTTCTAACTGGTTCTGGAGAACCAGTAGCGGAAATTTTGAGTAGTTCGGAGAACCAGCAAATACCATCTCTGGCTGGCTCCAGAGTGGGATGGGAATGGAGATTTTGCAATATCCTTCCCCCAGAAGTGGGGAGGGAATGGGGATTTTGCAGTATTCTTCCCCTGGAGTGAGCTGGGAATGGAGATTTTGCAATATCCTTCCCCTGCCTCGCCCACCAAGCCACACCCACAAAACCAGTAGGGAGAAATTTTGGATTTCACCCCTGGGTGGGTTGCTACCAGTTCGCCCCAGATCGGACAAACCAGTAGCGGCAGTGGCGGGAGTCTCCGCCCATCCACCTGGGCAGAAGTGTCGCACGTGTGTGTGAGTGCCTGCCCGCAAGCAAAACGGTAGCGGCCAAATTTGAAACCCACTACTGCTTTAATGCTCTACACACTCTTGATTCCCAGGTGTTTCCTGTATGGGATCACTTAATACTTACTCATGATTTTTTCCTTCTCACCTTATTACTAAAACACACCCAGTTCTCTGTCCCTAAATGTTCTCATTTGTATTATTTTAGGTTAGGTTCTTTGCTCTGCTCCATGTAGTTGAGATGTGTCTATCTCGTTTTAGGCTGAGATGCGTCTACCTTGTTTTTATGTAGGTTGTAAAGTTCTGTTGGTCCATAGGATAGTTTTTGACAAGTGGCATGGGGGGTGCTTAACTGAGGCCCTGTTCTAAGTTGTATGATTTGAAATTGTAAAAATTTCATACCTTGGATTTGGTTAAAAAAAATAGTTTCTTCTCTCTCCGCCTCAATATTTTTGCCAGATTTAATAGGTTTGAGAGATTTGAGCCATCTTCTCTTTCTCTGGTTGAAGAGACATTTCAGGTGAAAAACTAATGCAGTGAAGTTGTTGCTTTGAAAGAGGCAAATGTTGTGTGTTCTTCCAGAGGATATCTGGAGTGGCATCTGGTCTGCGATAGATGGATGATGGCTTTTTAATGTCTTGAGGTCTTGGAGCTTGAAGATTAAGAGGTGTTTGTGATGTTTCACAGTTGTGTAATAGCTTGTGTGGCAGCACAAATATAAATATGGGAAAGGCTTTCCTTGGCTTGATGGTACTCCCTTTTACGTCTACCTCCAATGTAAATTCATTTGTGATGGGCTACTTAATCTAACCCAAAGTTCCACTGTTGCCTGGCTCTTAATTCTGGTTTATTTGGAGATCAACTCTATCACAGTGCAGTCTTTAAAAAGTTTTCATGGAGATAAACCCGACGAAATTCACAATGTATGCAACTGGACATTCCCACATTTTCTTAGTGGGAATTCTTGATTTCCGTGAGTTTGTTTCAAGAATTGCTACTATATTAAGTATGTTCTTTCTTAAGTGGAGTATAATGGTAAAGGTGTTGCACCAGGAGTA